TTTCTGATTATATTAATGTTATTTCTCCCTTTCTCTGACTGACTGCTCGATTCTTTGTCTTTCTGTCTTTGTTTGTTTGTGTGTGTGTGTGTGTTTGTGTGTGTTTGTGTGTGTTTGTGGGTGTTTGTGGGTGTTTGTGTGTGTGTGTGTGTGTGTGTGTGTGTGTGTGTGTGTGTGTGTGTGTGTGTGTGTGTGTGTGTGTGTGTGTGTGTGTGTGTGTGTGTGTGTGTGTGTGTGTGTGTGTGTGTGTGTGTGTGTGTGTGTGTGTGTGTGCGTGCGTGTGTGCTTCTTAATAAATGTGTATAACCTATTACCAATAAACACCGAAAAAAAAAACATGGTGATTTCCTAACCTCAGATATTTTTTCACGTACTTATTTCATATTTCTAACAATGACTAATAATGTAAGTTACATCTTAAATACGTACACACACACACACACACACACACACACACACACACACACACACACACACACATACACACATACATACAAACACACACACGCAAACACACACATTTATATAAAAATGAATCAATAAATATATATATATATGCATACATACATATATATGTACATATACATACATATATATATATATATATATATATATATATATATATATATATATTCTCAAGCACACACACACACGTATATATATGTGTGTGTGTGTGTGTGTGTGTGTGTGTGTGTGTGTGTGTGTATGTGTGTGTGTGTGTGTGTGTGTGTGTGTTTATGTGTATACTCACACACACACACAAATGTATATACATATATATATATATTTATGTATACATATATACATATTCATATACATATAAATACACACACGCACACACAGACACACACGAAGGACGTTCACTAAAGATTTCCTGACCCACTTCCGCTTATCTTAGTGGGTTGAAATTTCACATGCATAATGATGCACATCTATATAGGCCGTGTGATAGTTTCCAATCCTTAACACGTAACAGGTTTTCTGTTGCAACGATGAACGTGCAGTAAAATGTGAAAATGGAACCAGTGGAGTATCATGACCGCACACCACAAGAGACCTTCGATGAAATCAAAGCAACTTATGGAGGTTGCCCCATCATATGGGTTTATTAAACACCAGCATCACCAGTTCGGGCGTAGTCGCAGATCAGTGGAAACGGCTCCAATTCCAGTCTGCCATTGATAAGTACACCATCCATCAAGTAGAGACGAAGATCGCCGCATTTCTGTTTACGAGTTAGCTCAATAAGTCAAGATTAGCGTTGGGTCTGTGGACAAAATCGTTCATGAGCATCTGCATGTGCTAAAGCTGTCTGGCCGATGGGTTCCCAGGCTACTCACAACTTTCCAGAAGCAGGAATGAGTCCATTATTCCAAGGCTCTTTAAATCACATGTCAAGAAAACCAGGAGGACTGTTTTGACAAATTTTGCAGTATGAAACTTGGGTCCATCACTATGATCCAGAAACTAAGGCCCAGTCAAAACAATGGAAGCACTTTGACTCACCCCCTAAAAAGGCATGTGTCACGCCCTCAGCACAGTCTTTTGGGACCAGCATGGCATGGTGATGATGAATTTTCTGGCGAGAGGTACAATAATTGCAGGGGCTTACTTCACTACTACAGAAATTACAGGAGGCTATTAAAACTAAGAGGCGTGGACTGTTACCAAAGGTGTCCGCCTCCTATAAGACAGTGCCTCTGCTCACAACTCTCACGTTGCCCAGATGGAAGTGTGGTCCTGTGGCTATGACATCCTTCCTCATCCTCCTTATTCTCCTGACCTTGCACCATCTGACTTTCACCTTTCCATCCATGAAGTCATTTTTGAAGGGCAAATATTTCCAAGATGATGAGACACTGATTTCTGAAGTCACTCCATGGCTTCACAGCTGCATAAACCAATAGTAGGTGTGAAAATACTACTGGATCTTTCGCACATTATTGACTGCAACTCTTAGCAAAGTCGTCAATATTACAATGCAAAAGTGTCATGAATTCAGATTTGGTGAGGATATCGACGATATTTGAGAAATTGATTGTGGAAACCGAAACTGATTCATGAGCTTGAAGTATAGAATTTAGCTCTGAAATATACAAAATGATACTGTGAAGGCAGTGAAAAAGAGAAGAATGAATAAATCCTTTTTATGATTTTTGGTCTACATGTAAAGAAAAAAAAGAGAAAGGAAGATGTCAGAGTATGTAATTGGCACGCTTTCATTACATATCCTCATCAGAAGTATGCGAATTTTGATGAAAAATTACCGGAACGCGCTAGTTACAAACTCTGCATTTTAAAATTCCTTTTTTTCATTGCTGTCCTTTATGTATACTGAACCCTGTTCTTCTAGTCAACAATTGGGGCAAGTAAAACAATTTAGATATCTTTATGGCTTTAACTAAGATGCTCTTGAATTCGATAAGATACCAAACCATTACTACAGTGACGGAGTTTAACAGTTTCTGAAAAAAAATCGACTAAGATAAAAATCAGATTC